TGTGGGTTTTAATCCCTGGCTATATAATGACTGTTACCTCAGCCTTTTAATATTTCTGGAACATCTGTTTTCCACATAACTTTCCCTTTAGGACTTGGGACTCTTTAAGGGAAGCAGATAAAATGTTTTATTTGTGTTATTTTTACTGGAGGAATCATAGCTACCATTACTGGAGCTCTAAGAGCATTTTCAGTCCATTCTGAATTTCAGTGTAGCATAAAGGTGAATATGAGTTAAGAGTCTTACCATGTTGTACTTAGAGAGCAACATGTTCCAGAAAACACAGAAAAATGTTCTAATTGCACTCTTTCTTTCACAAGCTCACTCATGCATATACACAACTTGATTTGAACGTGTTAAATCTGATGACCTTTATCTATCAAAAAGACAATTAGGAGGGAGCTTCTGAGTCATAGGAATCCTGGAAGGAAAAAGGGATTATTGAAAAACTACATTTCTGAAATGGTTTCAGATGATGTCCTAAGGGGGGATACTAATAGAAGTAGAATAAGATCTTTTGGGGGCTCATAGCAAAATGTTTTTCTAACTCTTGACAAAATTAAGCCATGTTTTGTGACTCTAATCCAGAGTTATTGCATCTGGAAAAGTGATGTTCTTCGGTGCGTAAGGTAATAAACTGAGGTTCCAGATTGCCAGTCCTGCCCTGGGCTGAAGTGAATCATATCCTGGGCTTCCATAAAAAGAAGCATGGCCAACAGGTCGAAGGAGGTGGCTCTCGCCCTCTACTTCGCTCTCACGACATCCCACCTATACTGATGTATCCAGTTCTGGGGCTCCCAGCACAAGAAAAACATGGATCTATTAAAGCAGGTCCAGAGGAAGGCTACAAAAATAATCAGAGGGCTGGAACACCTCTCAGACGAAGAAAGGCTGAGAGAGTTGGGGCTGTTCAGTCTGGAGAAGAGAAGGCTCCACGGAGACCTTATTGTGGCCTTTCAATACTTAAAGGAGGCTTGGAGTAAAGATGGAGAGACACTTTTTACCAAGGTCTTTAGTGACAAGACAAGGGGCGACAGTTTTAAACCAAAGAGGGTATATTTAGATTGGACAGAAGGAAGAAATATTTTATGATGAGGGTGATGAGACATTGGAATATGTTGCCCAGCAAAGTTGTGGATGCCTTGTACCTGGTAGTGTTCAAAGTCAAACTGGACAGGGCTGTGAGCAACCTGATCTGGTGAAATATATTCATGCCTGGGGCAGAGGGGTTAGAAAAGGGCACAAATTGAAGCATAGGAAGTTCCGTCTGAACATGAGGAAGAACTTCTTTGCTTTGAGGGTGACAGAGCACTGGAACAGGCTGCCCAGAGGGGTTGTGGATTCTTTTGCTCAGGAGATATTCAAAACCTGCCTGGGAAAGGTCCTGTGCAGCCTTCTTCGGCAGGGGGGTTGGACTAGACGACCCAACCCCTAACATTCCCTAACATTGGTCCCTTCCAACCCCTAACATTCTGTGATTCTGTGATTAGATGACATTTAAAGATCCCTTTCAACCCAACCCATGCTAGTCTAGTCTAGTCCGAGAAGTGGGTTTTGCTCTTCAGTCTGTAGTTATACACAGCATGATACTGGAGGAATGTACAATAAGAGTAAATGAATGTTTTAAGTAGCCTTAATTGTGAGCTTTCCTAACATTGGAGTGTTTGCGTGCTCAACTCTCTGCTAATACAATTTTTCTGCAAATAATTATTTCCATGTTGAAGTGTTATAGACGTATGTGGCACTGGCAAAGGCAATAAGTCACCCTAGTGTTAATGTAAGAAGAAAAACACATTTAAATCATAAAGTAGATAGATAATAGATTATCAATTATATTTCTTTGGTGATTTACACTCTTTTCTTACCAGTGCAAAATATATTGCACAAAGAAATGTCAAATGTTAATATGAGATCATTTTAAAATTCAAGTATTTGACTGCTGCCAGAATTGGAATTAAATCTTTTCCTCAGATTTCCTCTACACTGAGTTTCTTTTCAGGCTCTCACTGGAATTTTTTCTGCTGTGAAACAGTATATCACTCTTTAAAGCTCAATACCAAGCAAGTCTTAGGGCATAACACTCATAAAAAAAGCTTTCTTTTGCGAAGTGTGACATGAGGATTTGTGGGTGATACTTGATGGTGATGACTGAATAATGAATTGCTGTATTAAATCAGGTATACATGTTGCATATATCAAAAGAACAGTGAGGAATATAATTCATATTTATAGGAAAACTATAAAACATATTCCAAGTGGCATATAAATCATGCTATCATAGTCAGATGGATCACCTGACTTATAGTTACTCCAATAGTTTGAGTCATCTATAGGATTTATACCAGAAGTCACATGCAGAGAGTATTGTCACATTTTACACATTGTTTTTTTTAAAAAAAACTATGCTCTGCTCATGTGCAAGTGCTTTCATCCCGACTGGGTGACCTTCAAATTTATCATAATCTGCTTTAGACAGATGTTTTAATCTTACTTTAGCAGATACCGGAACAAACTCCAAAAGTTTCTGTATGTGTTTTGTTTACCTTATTTACAATCGAGAAAATCATATACATTTCTGAATAAACACTAACTTGAATGAGTCAGGTGAAGTCTGATTTTTTAGATTATTTTGGAGTATTTCTGGTACCTTCACATCTCTTCCAGCTTTGTAATGTTACAGGCACTGAATTCTGGATTCACTGAATAAATTAGATAAAAGAAGGTGGCTTTCTCAGAATAAATTTTTATTTGTTCCATGGTATGACTGTAATCAACAATGACTAAAAAACCCTTGACAGTAGCTGTACTGCAGTGAAGCAGTTAGGTACAAACTTCACTATAAGTAAGCACTTAAGCACACCTAAGTTATATGTTTAGTTTAATCTTGCTGAAATGGCTTGTTTAAGTAATCTAATTGAGAACAATATATACAGTATATACTTCTAGGATTAACATGTCCGTATTGTAATGACTAGCTACTTTGTTCAAGAATATGTTCTCCATCTCTCTTACTGTATTTTTAGAGCTTGGACTTAATGGCACATGTTAATATAAAGCACACTGGTATTGCTGCTCTTATTTGAACTTTCCTGTCTTCTGACTGAAGTATTTTATAACTGTAAATGGAATTCTCAGAGAAAGCAGGACATTCATCTTCTCAAGAACTGTTTCTTAAATGGCAGTTACTTATTATCTTATCTATGTGAAGTTGTTTGAATGGTTCTAGATAACATTTTTATAAAACTGTCTTTCTATTTTGCTTCCTGTGGAACAACTTATCATTTAAATATTAAGGAAATATATCTTAAATAGGGAAACGTGGTTTTAAATTATCTTTCTATCTTAAATATTATTAAAGAAAACTCCCTCTGAATTTTCATCACACTATTTTGCATGGATTATATGCTCAATTGAATAATTTTTTCAATTTTTGAAAATGTAAGACCCAACACTAAGTATGGTGAATCATTAATGCATTTTTTTGTGCAAATCTATTTGAAGGAACTTTTTCCTTAGTAGTTTTCTGTCACTGTTTTAGATCTTTCTGATACTCTTCGACTTTATAGTATTCCATTAATTCTTTTGATTTTTTTTGGTCAGGTTTGGGGGGTTTTGTGTAGTTTAACATTTATTAAAAAATCCAATGGATTGTGAAAAACTTGTTTCATAAAATTTTAGTGAATTAATGGCTTTGTTATACCTTACTAGAATACTCACTGTAGTGTTTAAATGTGAAAACACATTTAAGCACCTATTGTGATTAGTTGTGTGCTGATCTATTGTTGAAGTCACTGTACAATTTAATAGATGCAAGTAATGAACAAACTGGAATGTTGCTAGTCAAACAAATATAAGCTATTGTAGTAATGTGTATGCTTGTCCTCAGTTTGAAATGTTTGTTTTGCTATGTAGTGCTCACAGAAAACACAAAAAACTCAATTTTTTTGTTGTGCAGTGTTTACATCCATTCTGAGTAGATGACACATAGAACAGTATATGAATGTTATCAGAAAAAAAGTTGTCTCGAGTTCTTATGCTGCTGTTAATTATATAAGTATAGTTGCATATTAATTAAAAAAAAGTGTTTTCAAGTTTTGGAAATTGCACTACAAACACAGTCATTCAACAGATATGCTTTTCTAACAAATATAGTTTATTTTCAAGCATCATAGACAAATTTCCTAAATAATTTTACTATTTCTTACTTGGAAGTAATTGCATTGTTTCTTGTATATTGGGATAGGAAAAAGATATTTGAAAAATCATGTGTTAATTTTAATCTTCAGAATCTTAGCAGAAAAGTGACCACCTATTGAATTTGGTCAATTAAATTATTAGTATTATTGTGTGCCACTTTTGGCTTCAATGATGCTGCATTCAGAGCAAGATTGTTTTATTTGAGACTTAACATATGAAATTAGAACTGAGTATAAACGAAGTTTATGAAAACATTTGGTGTACTCATGAAATTATGTCAGTGTCACTTAGTGACATAATTACGAAGTATATCCATCTTATTTATTAAATAAATCAATTCCACATATCTTGGTTGAAAAAGTGTTATCCTATTATAAAACTGTTACTTCTCAGATCTTAGACACTAGGTCTGAGCCTAGAAATTTCTTCAAAAATAAACACATAATTTATATAATATCCTAATGTAGAGCTTTGGCATGTACTGCTAGAACACAATATTCTGTCTTCATGCCCTGCACTCAATGTTTCTTTGCTTTCCTCTCTAAATTTCTGAGGTAAATGGCTATTCATTCCATTCCAGATTTTCATCATTCCTATGTTTTGTCTCTAGAGCTGAGTTTTTTCATTTCTTTATCAAGATCTGGATTGTCCCAATGCATGATTTATTTCATTGATCACTCTGTGACTGGAGTTTGGCATTCCAGTGTTTACTTATTATGGAATGCATTACAGAATTTATATTAATGTTACTTCCTGTGTTGACAGCTGACTAAGCAATAAGAAGTACTTCTGTTCTCTTCCAGCTTATGAGTTACAGAACTGCCCTGATCCTCCTCCTTTTTTGAATGGATACATAGTCAACTCAGATTACAGTGTGGGTCAGTCAGTATCATTTGAATGCTACCCTGGATATGTTTTGAGGGGTCAGCCTGTTCTCACATGCCAACATGGAATCAACAGAAATTGGAACTATCATTTCCCCAGATGCGAAGGTAACTTTCTGGTAGTACCTTTGCTTCAGAACTCACAATGATTTCGGATTTTTGTTTACTTGTTTGTGTGTGTGTATGTAATGCAGCTTTTGCTGAAGAACGGCATCTTTATCCTAATATGTAGTGTAAGCAGCTAGGTCAGAATAATATGTGCTTTTATAAATCATAAACATTTTATGAATCATGTTCCTCAGCAGTGATTTATTGTTCGTATGATTATCCGTCAGTTGTATTGATTACAATAACTCATAATACTGACAAATTATCTTAAATTCCATGCAATATTTTTTCCTTCTTTTTTCTGTAAAATGTAATATATAAAATTTTCCACTGTAAAGCTTTTACTTGGACTTTCATCTAAAAAGTACAAGTGCAGAAACAAAATTTGACATTCCTTTAGACCTTTAGAGGCTTTGACAAAGTCTCATATAGGATATTACACTAAAACTAGGTACTCATTGTATAGAACTAAGTGAAGTCAGAGATAATCAATCATCTAAGAATATATAAAATAGATAGAAATAAATTATTTCAATCATAACAAGAGGCTAACGGTGCTATAGGTATTCACTGTGGAATGTATGTGCAATATATTTGACACAGATCTTGAAAGATGGGACAGATGCTTCTCTACACAAAGCACCCAATAGTTCTTAGGTTACTTGAACCTGAAAAGCCTCAATTCACAGAATCACAGAATGGTGGGATTGGAAGGGACCTCTATGGGTCATCTAGTCCAACCCCCCTGCCGAAGCAGGGTCACCTACAGAAGGCTGCACAGGACCATGTCCAGGTGGGTCTTGAATATCTCCAG